AGTTCAAGGTTAGCCTGGGCTACTGTCTGAATAACACCAACAAAGTAATTCTAAGCCCACCCACCCCCTTTTTTTAAACCAGTCCTGAGGCTTGAACTCTGTCTGGACCCTGTCCCTGAGCTCCTTTTGCTCAGACTAGCACTCTACTTGAGCCCCAGTGCCACTTCCAGCTTTTTCTGTGACTTAATTGGAGATAGAGTCTCACAGACTTTCCTACCTGGGCTGGCTTCCAACCCTGATCCTCAGATCTGTCTCTTGAGTAGCTAGGATTATAGGTATGAGCTAACAACTAACAGCACTGGGCTTCTGTGACTATTTTAAAAGGTATATTGAGAAAAAAAAATCAGGAGGGTAGGGGGCCTGGGAATGTGGCTTAATGGTAGAGTTCTTGACTAGCATGAAACCCTGGGTTCAATTCCTTAGTACCACATACACAGAAAAAACCAGAAGTGGTGCTGTGCTCAAGTGGTAGAGTGCCAGCTTTGAGTAAAAGCTTAGGGACAGTGTGTAGGCTCTGAGTTCAACCCCCAGGACTGGCAAAAATAGAAAAAAAATTTTTTGGGGGGGCTGGGAAGGTGGCTCAGTGGTAGAGCACTTGCCTTGCACGCTCGAGGTCCTGGGTTCGATTCCTCAGTACCACATAAGCAAAAAGAAAAAAAAAGCCGGAAGTGGCGCTGTGGCTCAAGTGGTAGAGCGCCCAGGCCCAGAGTTCAGGCCCCACGACCGGACCCAAAAAAAAAGAAAAAAAATTTTTTTTGAAGGAAGGCCTCTCTATGTAGCCCAGGCTGGTATTGAACTTAAGACCTACCTGCATCAGATTAACTGTTGCTATTGTTGGTTTAGTTGTGGTTTTTTTGGTGCCAGTCCTGGGAAGAAAACTCAAGAGCCTGAGTGCTGTCCCCAAGCTTATTTACTCAATGCTAAGCACTTTACCACTTGAGCCACATTTCCACTTCTGGCTTGGAACCTGGATCCTCAGATCTCAGCCTCTTGAGTAATTTAGGATTACAAGCAAAGCCAGGAGCACCTGGCCAGATTAACTCTTAATCCAAAATTTGGAGAGTAAGAGAAGGGCAGGATGTAGTATAGCACTTGTCCAGCAATGTGCATGACCCTGGCTTAGACCTCCAGCACAAGAAAATAAAATAAGTACAAAATAAAAAGTACTCCAGTTGGGCGCTGGTGACTCACGCCTGTAATCCTAGCTGCTCAGGAGGCTAAGATCTGAGAATCGCAGTTCAAAGACAGCCTGGGCAGGAAAAGCCTATGAGACTCTTATTTACAATAAACCACTAGAAAACTAGAAGTGGCACTGTGGCTCAAGCAGTAGAGCACTAGCCTTGAGCTGAAGAACACAAGGACAGTGCCCAAGCCCTGAGTTCAAGCCCCACAACCAACCAAAAAAAAAAAAAGTACTCCATCACAGGAGGTCATAAAGCTTAAGAAGCTTGGGGGACTGGGAAGGTGGCTCAGTGGTAGAGCACTTGCCTTGCATGCTTGAAGCCCTGGGTTCAATTCCTCAGCACCACATAAGCAGAAAAAGCTGGAAGTGGCGCTGTGGCTCAAGTGGTAGAGTGCTAGCCTTGAGCTGAAGAGCTGAGGGACAGTGCCCAGGCCCAGAGTTCAACTGTGGGGGAAGGGAGGGAGGAGGAGTAAGTTTGAGGATAACTTAAACTACATTTGCAAGAACTTGTCTCAAATAGGTATATAAATAAAGAAAACACAAAGAGCAACCTATTTTACAGTATTCTAAATTCCGTAAATAAATTTTAGACTTTCATTTTTTAAATTATCACTCCATCTAAGATTTGAGATGGAATTTTCAGGTATCCAATTACTTGACAAATCATGTAAATTCTAAAAATTTAGAACTCCTCAGTTCTAATTTTGAAAACTTTAAATGTCCAGTATTGTGTGGCCAGTTAGAAAAAGGCATATAAAGATATAGCAATGTAATAAATACAAGTAAATGACTAAACATTTTCATTGCTACACTAATATATTATGACAAAAAAACAATTATGTCTTACAAATTTTATTGATATCATGAATTTAATCATAAAATAATAAAATATTGGTTCCAGAAGTGAAAAGAATTTTTTATGCTGGGCATGATGGTATACACCTATAATCCAGCACTTGGGAGGCTAAGGCACTAAAAATTATGAGTTTGAGGCCAGCCTGGGCTAGCTAGCAAGATCCTATCTCAAATACAACAAAAAAATGACACATTAAAATACACGCTTTAAAAAAAAAAAGAAACAATGCTTTTAAAGAACCTTAAAAATACATGCTTCTTTGTTGTTGTCAAGAGTAAAAACAGCTGGCACTGGTAGCTCACACCAGAAGACTGAGATCTGAGAATGGCAGTTCAAAACCAGCCTGGACAGGAAAATTCACGAGATTTTTTTTTTGGGGGGGGTCCGGTTGTGGGGCCTAAACTCTGGGCCTGGGCGCTGTCCTTCAGCTCTTCAGCTCAAGGCTAGCGCTCTACCACTTGAGCCACAGTGCCACTTCCAGCTTTTTTCTTTTTGCTTATGTAGTGCTTAGGAATTGAACCCAGGGCTTCATGCATGCTAGGCAAGCACTCTACCACTGAGCCACATTCCCAGCCCCTTATTTTCAATTTTTATGTGACTTTCACCAAGAACTCTACATTTTCCATAATTTCAGTCATAAAACACTATACAGCTAATATTCATCCATGAAGAACTTACTAAAATAATTTCAAAATGAGGGCAAGTAAATTCTAAATTATAGCCGGGCACCAGTGGATCATGTCTGTAATCCTAGCTACTCAGCTGGCTGAGATCTGAGGATCATGGTTTGAAGCCAGCCCAATCAGGAAAGCTGTAAGATTTTTTATCTCCAATAGACTACTCAGAAAAAGCCAGAAGTGGTGCTGTCTTAAGTGGTAGAGAGCTAGTCTTGAGCACAAAGAGGCTCAGAACAGTGCCCAGGCCCTGAGTTCAAGCTCCAGGATTAGCAAAGATAACTACAGGTAGAACCTGGCATCCCAAAGTACAGTGGTGTCTAGGGTTAAACAACGTGATCCTGTCTGAAGGAGAGATGATGAAAAAGTAACCTACGGGGGTTTTGACAGGGAGCATACAAGATGTTTCACAAGGGGAAAAAAAAAGAGGAAGTTTAGGGTATTCTTTGGTTTTCCAGACTACTTTCTTGCACAGAGCCTCAGAGCACCCAGCTTCATACAGTTCTTTTAAAAACAGACTAGACAGTTTTTAAATGTGTATAGTCAGTGGGACTGAGATGGCTCAAGCCTGTAATCTTAGCTAATTAGAAGGCTGATACTGAGGATCTAAGTTCAAAACCAATCCATGCACTCTTAGCTCCAATAGCCAACAAAAAACGGGAAGTGGAGCTGTGGCTAGTCTTGAGTGGAAAAAGCTAAGGGACAGCACCCACGCCCTAAGTTAAAGCTCCAATACACAAAAGTGTATAGTCAATGATTTTTAGTCAATTTTCAGAGTTGTGCAATCATCACTACAATTTAATTGTGCTCTACTCTTTAGTTGGGGACCTGTTTGTTTCATTTTGTGTGCCATGCTGAAAACCCAGGCAAGCCAAGTAAGCACTTCACCACTGGGCCCCACCCAGAACCCACATACTGTATAGGTCTACTTCTTAAGAAAAACTTACCTACCCAGGAATAAGACCTGTCTCAAAACTGGTGCTATTAAGACTATCTACCTTTTAGTACATCACTAATCTTGTTTTGTACTGTGAAAAGGCTATTCTTTTCAGCATAATTTACAAACTTGAGATTCAGAAGAATTTCTTCCTACCCCTGAACCTCTGTCAGTATCACACCAGGCCCTTCATAATTAACTCTTAACAGATGTGCTGAGAAAATTACCGGGGCTATCCTTGCTTCCTCCTCCTAAAGATTACAAACTTGTGAGAGTTGCTTTAAGATCAAGAGCTGAAGTTTATTTTTCTTTCCGGTTTCCTGGCAGAGCAAAAAGCCCAGCATGTGTGAACGGAAAATAAAACCCAATAACAGATTGTACCCTTGGCTAAACAATGGGTTAGGGACACCTTCCTCATTACAGAACTACCTTAAAAAAAATTCCCCAGGGATTATCTACCCGGGGGTTTCGATCAAGCACCCACAAACTCCTAGGGACGAAGTCCTGGACCAAGCTTGAACTCTACACTTCCTAGTGGGGAGTCACCCCACCCCCCCCCCGCTCCCAAACAGAGTCTTAGCAAGCATTTTGAATGTGAGTCCCTAAAGAGACGGTTGCACAAGGCAGGTGGTGAAGATTTCCGATTGCACAGGTTGAACTTATCCACTAGAACAAACAGACCAAGTAGGATGTGAACTGCTTCCAGGGGTCCGGAGTGGCATCTCGAGATCACCGGAGTCCGCAGAGCAAACCCAAAAAAGTTTGTAAGCACATTACTTAAAAGTGTGCAGGTGAGAAACATCGCGACAAATTGAAATTAGGAACAGAGAGGTAATGGGGGAAGAACGGGAGTGGGGGGAAAAATATGCGGATGCTAATCTACAAAGCAGCACGGAAAAAACTCAAAAGGAGGCGGAAAAACTCTTCTGAATACTCGGGCTTTGTCTGGTGGTTAAGACGACAAGAATTACGGAATTGAGGACTTGGAACACAACGAATTGTCAGGATTCTCTAGCCCAGTTCTCAATACTTCAGGGCCGCCCCGCCCGCCTTGCTGTGTACACTGGGGGCCCCGTAGTTCCCCGGATTTAATAAGGCGCGGAGGGCGGAGAAGTCGAGCACCTCGTAGGAGGGCGGGCCGCGGCCCGGGGCCTCGACCGAAAACGACGGAGGATGGAGGCCGCGGGGCCGAGAGAGAGCCAGGCGCAGCCCCAAGCGGACGCCCAGCCCAACCCTGAAGGCCAGGCCAAGGCCAGGCCCGGCCCAGCCCGGTCCGGTCCGGTCCCCAGGCCCGCAGGCCCGGCCCGGCCCGCCCGAGGCCCTAGCCCAGGGAGGCTCGGCCCGGCGTACCTTTGGCGAGGGCTACAGTGGAGTTCTCGGTATCGATGGTGTAGAGGATGCCCTCGTAGCGGATCTCCGCCTTGGAGATGAGGCTGATCTTGCTACCGATATAAGGAGTGCCCCCGCTCATGGCGCCCGCCGCCGCCGCCTTCCCGCCGCCGCCTCCGCTCCGGGCTGCTCGTAGAGAGGCAGATCCCACGCCGCTACGGCCGCCCCCCTCACACGACTCCTCGCTCGCTCGCTCGCTCGCTGGCTCGCTCCTCCGCTCGCTCCCGTCGGCGCCTCACAGCAGTCGCCTCAGACCCAACATGGCGGCAGGGCCGGCTCCGCTACCTTCCTCCCGCCCCCCCCACCGCCCTCCCCGGCCTCCCGCCCTCTAAACCGCGGCGCGGCTGGAAGCAGCAGCGGCGGCGGCGGCGGCGGCAGCGGCGGCGGCGGCAGCGACGGCGGCGCGGAGCATGCTGGGAGGGCGAGGCCTACCGCGGTTCTCGCGAGATTTCCCACCCTTCTCTCACACACACACACGCACACACCTCGTACTCAGCCCTCGCCGCCCGGCGTCGCTCCTGACTCTTTCAGGAGACCTGAATGGCGCTGGAGCGGCGGCGGCTGCGGACGGAAGACTTGAACTGTTGTACGGTACGGACACACAGCCTCACGACTGCGGAAGCGTCCGCCTCCTCCCCTCCTTTTCTTTTCTTTTCTTTGTGGTTATTGTTTTGGCCGATCCTGGGACTCGAACTCCAGGCCTTGGAGCTCTCCCTTCACTTTTTCACCACTTTGAGCCCCAGCTCCACCTCCGGCTTTTTGTTTTGCTCCTTAATGAGAGATGTAGAGTCTTATGGACTTGACTGCCTGGGTTGGCTTGGAACTGTGATCTGGCATCTATGCCTGGCATCTATCCACCTCCTGAGCACTGGGGTTATTGCAGGCCTGCACTACACCCTACTAGAGACTATTACGTTTCTTGTTACCTTTTCCCCCCAATTCTGTACCAGTCACTCCCTTTATTTTATTTTTTGATCGGTCATGGGGCTTGAACTCTAGGCCTGGGCTCTGTCCCTCAGCTCTTCAACTCAAGGATAGCGCTTTACCACTTGTTCCAGCTTTTTCCGTTTATGTGGTGCTGAGGAATTGAACCCAGGGCCTCTCTACCGCTGAGCCACCTTTCTGGCCTCTCATTCCCTTTCTTCACACAGAACTTAACACACTTTATTCCAGTGATCTGCTCAAATGTCAACCCAGAGATGATGTCCCTTGACTATTCTGTTTTTATTTTCATTTTTTGGTCAGTCGTGGGGCCTGAATTCTGGGCCTGGGCACTGTCCCTCAGTTCTTCAGCTCAAGGCTAGCGCTCTACCACTTGAGCCACAGCGCCACTTCCGGCTTTTTTGTTTTTGCTTGTGTGGTGCTGAGGAATCGAACCCAGGGCCTCACGCATGAGAGGTGAGCACTCTACCACTGAGCCACCTTCCCAGCCCTCCTTGACTATTCTGTTTAAAATAATAACCACTTGTTTCAGAACTGGTGCCGGAGGAAGGAAGCCTTCACCTAGCCTTGTGTATGGAGTTTGTGATGTAATCACACACACGCAATTCATGCTGGTGCTCTGCCACTTGAGCCACAACTCTACCACTTTTTGCTAGTTAATCAGCACGTAGGTTCACAAATGTGGTTCTCCAGCACCCAGCTTCATTCTATCACTCTTGCTGTTTTATCAATTGGGCCTAGAGATTTCAAAATTGGTCCTCTTATTATGTTTGGGTTGTTATGACATATAGATACCTCACCATCCCTTCAAGCAAAGGATGGTCTTACCAGGTTCTCTCTTAGAGATAAACTGATTGCTTTGCATGTAAACACTCTGTGTTCTGGGGGAGTCATTCTCCCAAGTGTTTTCTTCCAAGTGTTTTCTTCCAGGCTAAGTATCTTTAAGATATCCTAGTTCTTCCCCTCCCACTCTCTTATCATAATCATTAGGACAAGAGGACAAAGTCAACACAGCTCCTTTCCCCCTTTCTAGTTTTTTTTTTTATTATCCGGTAGTGGGGCCTGAACTCTGGGCCTGGGCGCTGTCCCTCAGCTCTTCAGCTCAAGGCCAGTGCTCTACCACTTGAGCCACAACGCCACTTCCGGCTTTTTTCCTTTTTGCTTATGTGGTGCTGAGGAATCGAACCCAGGGCCTCAGGCATGCAAGGCAAGCGCTCTACCACTGAGCCA